TGTTGGATTAGTTTGCCAGCTTGAAACAAGAAGGTTTTATTCCCCTTCCCCTAGCCTGGAGAGGCTGTACCGGGAATCCTCTTGGCATCTTTTTTTTTTTGTTGTTGTTGTTGTTTGGGTTTTTTTGGTGTTTTTTTGTTGTTGTTGTTGTTTTGGGGTTGGTGGGGTTTTTTTGTTTGGTTTTTTTTTGTTTTGTTTTTTGTTTTTTCCCCTGAACTGTTTCGATTTTGGGGTTTTTATCGGCCCCGAACCAATCTCGGAGAAGCTGAACCAACGCAAGAGAGAACCCTAAAAACCACCAGTTGTTCTTGCTGTGAGGAAGAGTCCAGTGCCAGAAAGTTTCCCATCTATCATCTATTCCGGCCGAGTGGCTGCGTAAGCTCCTGTTCCTCCCATTCCCTGAGGCAAAGGGGGGCAGCCTGGGGGATGGGGGTTAAGAATTTGAAACTTTTTATACATTTATATATATATATATATACATATATATATATACAATCCTTTTCTGTGCCTTGCGGGCACCCTCTTGTTTTTTTTCTTCGTTAATAAACTGTTAGGGTGTTTTTCACTTTCACCCACTGGCATTCATTTCTCATTGGCAAAGAGGATTACTGGAGCACCTCTCTTTAGAGGAAACACTAATTTCAGAGTGTTTTCTCCTCAATTTATTTCCAAACAGAGACAGTAACTGAAATAATACCTACAAAAATTCAGCATTTGCTATTTTGTAGCATACTAAGATTACAGAGTTGGGCTGGTCATGCTGGGCAAGAAGTATTTTCGCAATTTAAAATCCATAATTGCTATGAATTTGAGAGCTATTTGTTTATTTGCTTGGAATTTTCTGTCTGATTTGTGTGACTTTATCTCAGTTCCATGTCTAATCAGTTGTGTCCTCAGTGTTGTATCATGCATTAGTCAGTCTGTCTTTACAAATTGCCTGGCTGCAGGGTGATGCTAAGCTGCTATATCACTGCATTCTCTCATTCTCTGCCTGGAAGATGGGTTTGTTAAATACAACTTTTTTTACTTGATGGCTTTTTTTTTTTTTTTTTTTTTTTTTTTTTTTTTTTAAGCACTCAGGCATGTACAGTTTAAGTCTAATTCATCTGTGGAGTGAGCTCTACCAGAGAGCAAACTCCCATGTAAGCAGCTGTGGCTGCTGGCCCAGGTGAGCTGTCCCCTATGGCCCTGTGCAGTCCAGGTCCCTGGGTCAGGCTGTGGTCCTGCCTGGCAGCAGAGGAACTGATTCCCCAGCCTGTCCTAACAGCAAACATTCAGGAAGGGAACATGGATTAAAACCCAGGGCAGTTTTAGTTGGTAACCAGTATTGATGGTATTTGCTTATCACAGAATCATTAGCCTTGTGAAATACCTTCAGAACCATCAATTCTAACCTTTAAGCTAATCCTCCCATGCCCACTAAACCATATCCCCAGGGGCCATGTCAACTAATTTTTTCAATACTGCCCTGGGCAGCCTATTCTAACCCTTCTCCACTCTTCCAGGGAAGAAATTCTTCCTGATGTCCAGCCTAAACCTTCCCTGGCACAGCTTCAGGCTGTTTGCTCTTGTCCTATCGTTTGTCCCTAGGAGCAGATCCTGACCCTCCTCCAGCTGTCCCCTCCTGTCAGGGAGTTGTGCAGAGCCACAAGGTCTTCCCTGAGCCTCCTTTTCTCCAGGCTGAGCCTCCCCAGCTCCCTCAGCTGCTCCTGGTGCTCCAGACCCATCTCCAGCTCCGTTCTCATGTCTGGACATGCTCCAGCCCCTCAGTGTTTCTTGTATGCCAATTACACAGTCAAGGCAGTAGAGATTAAGATCCTCTGTGATTTGTGTGGCAAATGTTTAATTGGAAAGACTCAGTTGTCACTAACTTCAGTGTTCTCCATGCCTTTACAGTTCATCCTGGCATTCCAATGTGGATTTTGGATGATGGGATGGTAAAAATAAAACCCCATTTTGGAACTTCCTTTGCTACACCACAATTCAATGCAGTTTGAATTTTACTGCTGCATATTTTTCCTTGTGTAACTCTGGAAGTAATAGGGAATCAGAATTAATAAATCTCAGCTTTTGGTCTAGGTTATTCCAAGTAATTATCTGGTGCTCCTGACAGGAATGCCTCACCAGCAGCACTGCATACTTGGGCAGGGGCTTTGTGGCCCTGCCCGTGGACATCATGGTTGTGTTTCTAAGCTTTCATCAACTACATTTATTTCCTGGATTAGAGTCAGGATTTTTGATTATTTTGGGAGAAATTGGTTCCTGTCACCTGTCTGATAGAGCAGATAAAATGGACCTGTCCAATATAAGTACTTCAGGCAGCTTCAAGAAGGAAGGGATGTGGTTTGTGGGCAGTAAGGGCTCTGAGTGACCCCTTAAATTAGAAATTTAAGTAAGAATAGTGAGTAAATTAAATTAGAAATTTCCTGGTATGGCACAATGTCAAATAATGAAGATTTTGCAGGGCTTTATTGTTTGTAGTAGAAGTGTCAATTTTGGAATGTATTGAACTAACCCTTATGATTGCCCACAGAAATGATTGCCATGTCCCACAGGGTTCCTTCCTTCTGGCCACCAGAACTTTTACTGCTGGCATGTTTGCTCCTCATCTCTGCACATATTTAGTTTTGAGATGTTAGGTTTAATTTGCAGGCCTATTCCTCAAAGGGGGCCTTTTTGGAGCTGTAAGATGAGCGTGTATAACCCAGAAATCCAGACTGAAATCCTGTAATCTCTGCAGTTGTGTTTTTGTGGAGGTTTCTTGGAATTGTTTTATTGTTCCTTGCTGCCACCAGAGAGCAAAGTGCAGCGGGTATCAGCATTTCTGAGAGACTTTCGTCTCAGCAGAATATTTTGTTCTCATACTTTGAAGATAATGAAGTGAGTCATTGTCTTTACATCTCATGTGATTTGTTACAGACATACATTGCTAATGCTTTCCAAGGAAAAAAACAGACCTTTTGTTCAGACTTGTGGCTTTGAACTAGTGGGCTGATTTGGAGTTTGCTTAACTAGGGAGTTGCTTTGATTTGCTCTTTTGCTCTTTTAATCTATGTACTGAGAGCACTTCAGCAGACAATGGAGCTCAGAATGTTTTTGATCAGATTCACAAGAATATCTCTGCTTTGGCATCAAGGATGAATAAATTTATCAGCAGCTTTTTGTCTATAAGGATACATCAATGTTTTGTTCTCTTTCTGATAGCATGAGGCTTATCTGCACTGGGTCCAGGTCAGGAGCTCTGATTAAGGAGTCGATTTTTTTCTTCAAGATCTGACATCTTGAAGAAAACGTTGTCAGTTTGTGAAGCTTTGGGAGAGTAGAACACTGCCTAGGCTGATAATCAGTACACATGGTGCTGTAATATCTCCAACCCACTCTGTCATTAGCATTTCCTAGAATCACAGAATTTTTTAGGTTGAAAAAAAGAATTTTAAGATCATCAAGTCTGTGTCTCTAAGTACCACATTTACGTATTTTTCAGACATTTCCAGGGGTAGTGACTTCACCAATGCATTGGGCAGCTTGTGTCAGAGATTAGCAACCCTTTCCAGGCAGAATTTCCCCCTAATATCCAACATGAACCTCCCCTGGAACAAGTTGAAGCTGTTTATCTCCTCCTGTCCCTTGTTCCCTGGGAGCACAGCCTGACCCCCACCTGGCTGTACCGTCCTGTCATGGAGTTGTGGAGAGCCACAAGGTCCTCCCTGAGCCTCCTTTTCCCCAGGCTAATTTGATGTATCTACTAATGACCTACTGACTCTTTTGCCATGAAGATCACAAAGCGGAGTTATAACAAGAAATAAAATGAAAGGAAAATATGCATTAGATATTTGTCTTAAAGCAAAGGATTTACTTCTCAGGGCAGGCACCAAATTACTGACAAACGTAGGATGGGATGTTTGGAGGAGGAAGGAGTCCTGTATGCTGTCAAGGAGCTCTAGTCAAAGGCAGAGATACTTGTGCTGCAACAGAAAATGCTCATAACCTTTGTTGGATGCTCCATGGTCACAGGAGTCATTCTGCAGGGGACAGGGGAGGAATTGGACCATTATCCAGTTCCCATAATAAACACTTCCCAATGATAAGCCCTCCTTGCCCACTGCAGCAATTCTTTACCTGTCCATGTTTAATGCCACTGATAGCAAGTCTGTAGACCTGATGTGCCACTTTTTGTTATTCTTGCTCCAAATCAAGATTGTCAGTAAGGGTTTTAAGCTAGGAAAGGTTGTTTGAAATGCTGTCTGTGCCTGGTGTAGTGTAGAGAAGTGTGAGAATCATGGGGCCACCAGATTACCTCTTAGAATAAACTGTGTGGTTCATACAGGGAGAAATCCCTTCTAGGACTGAAGACTTCAATTCCCATAGGTTTCATAGACCACTAGGAAAACAGAATTGTACATATTTTGTTCTTGGAATACATGCATCACTTACAGCTCTGTAATAGCATGATATAAATTGAATCCTGATTTCTTTTTGGCTGTAAGAGGTGCTGGGATCCGACACACAATTGCCTCTATGCATTAATGTCTGTTAGAACCACAGTGAAATTTGGAATGAATTGGTTGGAGATTAAGATCTTTGGGTTGGCTCTGGTGAGTTTTATGTTGAATTCTCCCTCTTGTGTGAGGAGTTATTTCAGCTGGATTATAAGAAGTGATGTTGGTGACATGGTGTGGTATGAGTCACAGAGTGTGTTTTAAGCTTCACAGCGAGGTTTAGGTCAGTATATTCATTATCTGAAAAACAGATGAGCAGGGAGGTGACATAATCCATGGTTCTGTAGGGCAGATGTGAGGACTTACAGGAAGCCATCATGTGTGACTGAATAGTTGACATACAGAAGTAAAGCCTGGGTGAAACTCTCCTGGCTTTTCCACAAGATGAGAAACTATGCTGGCTATCACCACTCAGGAGCAAAATATTGGAGTTCATGATGTTGCAGAGCATTAGCTTAGAAAATGTCAGACATTAAGAACAAAAATAGAGGACAGAGAACATTATGCTACTATTTTGTGTAATTATAGTGATTCACCTGCGCTCAGGATACAGATGGCATGCAGTTCTGTTCCTCTTGTCTTCAAGACATTGCTTCACAGAAAGGGCTGTCAGGCCCTGGCACAGGCTGTCCAGGGCAGAGGTGGAGTCTCCATCCCTGGAGGTGGTCAAAAACTTTTTGGATGTGGCACCTGAGGACATGTGTTAGTGGTGAGCATGGTGGTGGTGCTGGGTAGATGGTTGGACTTAATGGTCTTAGATGTCTTTTCCACCCTTAACAGTTCTGTGATTCTTGGAGAAGGTACGTAGGAAGTGGGGAGGGCCTGTGACAATAACAAAAACCATTTTTGACAATCAAAAGCAGAGCAGAGCTGCCATTGCAAGAATGGCTGAGCAGGCTGGAACTCTTCAACCTGGAGAGATAATTTAAACCAAATACTGGATCTGAAGTGGCACAAAGCCACTGAATAGGAACTGATTGTTTGCTGGCTTTTGCTGTACTGCACGAGCTTGGGTTGGCAGTGAGGCTGTGAGGAAATTGCTTCCACACAGATGGAGGGGGCGAGGATCCTGGGAATAGGCACTGAATCTGTGGGATGCTCGAGGATGTTGCGCCTACAGAAAGTTAAATGGGAATAAAAAGCAGGCTGAGCAAGAGCTCAGAGATGTTCTGAGCTCTATCAAAGGACAAAGTATGACAGGCTTGGGTTATTCTGGGGGCTGACAGTTGAAGCAGAGGGAGAGTTCTGTGCTGCCTCTTTCCTCAGCATTTGCTTGTAGCACCACTGGAGACAGGATTTGCTGTTGGACAGACCTGAATGTGTCTTGGTTCGAAAGACAGGTGTCTGTCACAGCGCACACGAGCAGCTGCCGCAAGCAGCCAGAGACGCTCCCTCCTGAGGGGGAGGGGGTCGGGGTCCCCTTCCCAGTTTCCCAGTCAGGTCGGGTGTTGGAAAGGTCCCAGTTCAACAGCTGCTCTTGAGAGCAGCAGCTCAGCCCCGGTAAGAGAAAACAGAGCTCCGCGCTGGCAGCGAATTCTCCTCACGGCCACAGCCCGACCGGCTCACCCACGGTGCGGGAGCGAGCGGGGAGCCCAGGCCCTCAACCCCGGCCGAAAGGTCCCAGTGGCTCTGCCCTTCCCAAGAGAAAGCCCTCCAGCTAAGGGGTGGTAGCAAACTGCACCCTTCCCCCTCCTCCTCCTCCTCCCAGCACATCTTTTATCTCTAAAGTATCGCCAATCAGAAAGCAAATGGGAGAAAATTCCCTGCCAGAAAGAAAAATAAAAGGAAAAATCCTAACCTTCAGCAATGTGCTTATTGCCAGGCAGTGCTTCTGTGACAGACTTCACACAGTTGCTTTATCACCAGCGCATGGTTTTCTGCTCGGTGTGGGCGTTGCTGCGGTGCCCCGGCTCGGGCGCCAGCGGGCCTTGACTCCCTCTGTGGGCGGCGGAGCGCAGCGGCCCCGGGCGGGCCTGTGGCTCCCGGGCGGGCCTGTGGCTCCCGGGCCTGTGGCTCCCGGGCCTGTGTGACACTCTGGTGTCATTGGTGACTCTGATGTTTTCAGCCTGGCGGCCAGCACACAATCAAGGTGCCCGGGCTTTGCTTTGCCTCGGCACTGCAGCCTGTGTGAAGCTCTGGCTCCATGACAGCGGTCAGGGAGCTGGAAGGGACCCTCAGGGATCATCAGCCCAGCCCCTGTCCCTGCCCAGACCCCCCAACAGCCCCACCCTGAGCAGCCCTGAGAGCGCTGTCCAAACGCTCCTGCAGCTCTGGCAGCCTCGGGGCCGGGACCATTCCCTGGGGAGCCTGGGCAGTGCCAGCACCCTCGGGGGGAAGAACCTTTCCCTGAGCTCCATGCCAAGGCCTGGCACAGCTCCAGCCCTTGCTGGGCTCCAGGAGCTGTCCCAGAGCAGAGCTCAGCCCCTGCCCCTCTGCCTCCCCTCGGGAGGAGCTGCAGCCCCCGAGGAGCCTCCCCTCATCTCCTGTGCTCCAGCTGAACCAGCCAAGTGCCCTCAGCCGCTCCTCAGACCTTCCCCAGCTCCGTGTCCCTCCTTTGGACACTCTCCAGCAGCTTTGGATCCTTCTGATTTTGTGGTGCCCAAAGTGCCCCCAGCACTGGAGCTGAGGCTGCCCCAGGGCAGAGCAGAGTGGGACAATCCCCATCCTTGACTGAAGTGACTAAAGGAGTTGCTGTGTGTGGGATTGATCTCAGACCTGCGTTTTTCAGGGATGAGCTTTTTTCAGTAATATAATGGGTTCAAGTCAATAAATATCTCTAGGCTTTGCCAGAGTTAATGAGTGATAATGAGTTAATGAATCAGCTTTTACTCTCTAGTAAATGTCAGAAGTTCTTCTAGACTTCAGCACCTCACCTGCTTCCTTTGAATGCTGAGATGATGTTTCTTTTTTATCAATGTTCCAGACCTCGTTATTTCTAGAGCATCAAAATTAACAAATCTTACTTCCATACACCCCCCCACCCAATTGCAAAATTACCTTTTGAATTGGTACCTGTCATGCTGGCAAGAACATTCGGTTGTGTAAATTTTAATGAGGTGATGTATCTTGCTTCTAAAGTTTGCAACAAAGTCTAATTTTGGGTTGACTCAAGCTGGAAACCATTTGGAAATGGAATGGACCTCTTATAAGAGTGAATTAAAACTACCTTCCTGCTCAGAGTTGCTGTCAGTAATCCCTCCTGTTTTCCTGCTCCCCTGGAGTAAGCACAATTGTCCTGTTCCTGCTCCCGACCCATTCCCTTCCAACACCACAAAGATGTCCTTAGGTGTTTTTCTAGAAATAACTATACTCTGTTTGAGGCAGAATAAGAAATAAAATCTATGAATTATCTGCTCTCTGCCATAGTTTTCTTAATTCCTATTTTTCCTGTTTTTCTGTTGGAATTCTGTGTACAGGATAATTAGTTATGAGCAACAAACATCTGTGAGCAACAGTGTAGAGCAAGCAGGACCACTGCTGCTGGAATCCAGCATCTATGGCTTCTGTATGTCTGTGTTTTATCTGAAAGTTCTTGCAGTACACGTAGTTGGGTCTCAATTTAGACACTTCAAATAACTTCCTTCAGTCATGGAAGGGGCTGAGGTTCCTGCCCAGAAGCTCTTTCTGGAGAAGTCTCTCTCTATGTGAAGAGAATAATTTTTTTCAGTGTGAAATTACAACCCTCTTGCTGAAATGTCTCCTTCTTGTCAGAAATTCAGTTCTCATTAATAAGTTGTTTTTAATGAATGTTCTGCAGTAAATCTACTGGATGGATTTGAAACCATCTGGTCTGTGGAAGGGGACCCTTCCCATGGGGAACAGGGTGGGCTTTAAGGTCCCTTCCAACCCAAACCATCCTATGATTCTATGATTCTGTGATAATCATGTCTCCAAACAGGATTTGAAGTACCTTGAGTGCATAAGCAATATCTTTCCATTTCTATTTATTGAGAGAATGTGGTGAGATGAACTGTGAACTGTAAGTATTCTTCCTTAATTTCTTGAAATTATGCTAGAACAGGTGATATTCCTGTAGCACTGAATTTGAGAAATCAAACTGTTACAGAATTAGCATTTCTCCTTTTTCAGGTGTGATATATTTTATCTGACTCCATCACTGATTTTTTTTTTTTTTTTTTTTTTTTAATGTGGGGTGAGAAGGGAGAGGAAGGTTTCAACAGGTACAATCTTTGAGGGGCTCTAAAAATACCTTCCTCAACGTGTATATATTGAAAAAACAGAGGACAGTAAGCAGTATGTTTTAACTAAAATTGCTGTATTTGTCCTGTCGAGAAAGCAAGAAGTGCTAAAAACTGTCTCAATATTTATTTTTTTCCTCTGAGATTTATTTTTAGTAATGAGAAAAACTTTCTTCTCCAGGCAAAATGCAAGTGCTCAGTCTGTCCCTTACTGAAAACTGAAATGACAAACAGGTTGGGGCAGAAGGGTCTTTAGGTCTTCATGCTTGGTAAGGTCAGTGCATCCAGCCAAGAACATGCACCAGCAGTGTTGTCACCTGCATCTAAACCACCTACCTCAGGTGTGCTCTGCAGGGCAGCTGATGACACTGGTAGTGTCCACATGGGGAATCACAGATTCCTGGGATATCCTGCGTGGGAAAGGACCCACTCAGTCCATGCCACATGCAGTCTTGCAGCCAGGACTGGACTGGTTGTATAAAATAAATGGGTTCTGTGTGAATTCTTGCAGTAGTGATGTCAGATGAAGTTTACACAATTCACAGCAAGTTCACAGCAACTTGACACCGTGAGAACAGGGTGCAGAGTAATGGAACCCCTAGGAACAGAACACCAGAAATACCTATTTTGTTGACAGTTGTTCAAACAGATTAATGCAGAAATTGTAATCAAGTGTAAGGTTAATTATTAACTTGGTGATAGGATAAAAATACACCCTAAAGTTACCTTAGATTATTATAACGCAAAAAAAACAACCCCTCAGGGAAATTTGTCTGTGTGAATGAGGGTGTAATGAGCTGGATTAAGACATCAGATGCACATTAAGAATTACAAGTTGGAAGTGTGAGTGAACAATCACCTGTTTCTGTGTCATTTTTCTGTGTTACCTTTTTGTATACAAGCCTGTGCTTGTTTCCCAGGTGTGCCAGCATTGTGAGGGGCCTGGCACCTTGTTCTGCAGGATGGTGATAAAACCCAGTAGCCTGTCTGGGCGTGTGGGTTAGCTCCTGCACACGTGGGGACAGAACCCAGCTTCAGGGACACCAGCAGTGTGAGACAGTGAAGGAGAAACTCATCAAACTGCCAGTGCTTGTGAGCTTTTTATACATTGCAGGTTTTTATGTGACTCCAAAGGGTGGTTTTTTGGTTTTAATCTGAATGTTTAAGAAAGCGGAATGTTTTTCCATTTATAGTCAGATGACACAATGTTTAATAGAAAAACACTGCTTTAATTGAAAGGGAAATGAATCTGTCGCCCTGTCATACATACCAGGGGCACTTAGAATGACAAAGTGCAACAAGAAAGGCGTTGTTGAGCAGGCAGGAAGCCGAGGAAACACGAGCCCTGCAGGATGCAGACCACGTCAATGTGGGCTCTGTGGTGCTCGCAGGAGCAGGTGCGAGCGTATCCGGGGAGCCTCGGGAGGTGGGACACGTTTGTGGGGTTCTGAACACCACAGACAGAGCCTCTTCATGTTTTAGAAGGGTGTACATCAAGGATAAGCTCCTTCAGCAACATTTCTGAAATAAAAACTATGATAGAAGTATATGCTTTAAGTCAGTTCACAGCAGTAAATGAGCTCTTGGGGCAACCTAGTGTGATCTGTGTTGTTTAGCTTTGCCAAAAGTTCTTAGCTTAAAGTTACCGTCTAATGCTATGAAACCAAACCATTTCCCAAAGGTTTTCTATCACGTTTTTCTCAAAAGTTAGACTGATGTTACAGTTAACAGGGAAATAAAGTTAACACTTCAGAAAAACCCAGTAACTTAAGTAGAACACAATCAAACCTCAAGTGTTATTTCTTAAAATATTCTTGAAAATTATTTTGCAATTGGTTTTGACTGATCAAGTTGATGTCTCTAAAACCCTTTTGCTCCAAGTGTTCATTCATCTTTGGACATTATACCTCATGTCTTCTCTGAGTTATAGCTTTGAAAATGTCTGAGCACAAGAATTGTCAGATTTTTCATGTGGCATTGGAAGAAGATCATGCACATGATCTCAGTGTGGTCATTCAGAGTTGTCCTTACTGGAGTTTTTCCCAATGTCTACTTCTGTCCCATAGTACTTCCAGCAGGGTGCCAGTATTTACTCCTCACTCTTAGAGAGGCTGTGACTGGTCTGTTTGTCTGTGGGACCAGCTGAGCATCTGAAGTTACTCAGCAGTAACTGTTCTTTGCTGAAGCTGGCAATGTGGCATGAACAGAAGTTTAGGAGCAGCTGATCCCTAGAACTGCATAGAGGAAGGGATGCTAAGGGTGGGAAAAGTGGTGTGAGCTATAACCTATTCAGAAATATTCTACAACATTGAAAGCAATTGATGTATAGCATCATGGAGACATTCATGTCCACTGGCGATAAAAAGCTTAAAATCTGTCAGGCCTAACTACAGCTTTGTAGTTAATAAAATTGCTTCAGTGTTGGGTTAGAGGTGTAAATGTAATAAATTTAATCCACCACAACCAGCTGCTCTAATAATTGCTCTAATGAGAAGGAATAGAAAAAATTGGGGAAGATTTCATAGGAACAAACAGCTGTCAATAGTATGAAGGATTTTTAACTTAAATGCTATTAGGGATGTCTTCCTAAACAGCTAAGATTTGAATTACTAAGTCAGTTTTCTTCATTCACAAACTGCTAAAAATTGAGGAAAGAAGCAGCAAACTTGTGAAAAGAAGGTGACAAAACTGAAGCAGACTACAGCTGTCTCTGAAAGTGTACCTTGAGGTCTGCTGGGTGTACGCCCTGTTTGACATGACTGAGTAGGAGAGGTTGACACTTCCCTTGTGGGACAAATTACTGTGTGAGGCTTTTGATTTCAGATATACTCATCATGATTTTTAACTTTTTTACAACATTATTTTTCGACAATGCTTGATCAAGCTGTTGAACTTATGCCAAGCTGGTTTATTTTGTGCATAGTCACCTTACTCAGATTTTTCAAATACACATATATGGACTTTCATGTAGGGTTATGTATTAGTCAGGCTTTTTTTTTTTTTTTTTTCTGTGTGCCAATACTGTTTTCAATGCTGGGACAGATGATGACACATTTAGATTATTTGCATTTTGTGAATTCCTGAAAATGTTACTTATGAAATCATACATTAAGATTCAAAACCTAAATGAAATCTTCATTTCCAGTGAGATCAATTTTTGTTCTTCCCATTCTTAGTATAAGCAGGGCCAGATTAAAAAAAAAAAAAAAAAAAAAAAAGAACCCCAAATATAAGTATTATTTATGCATGGAAAATGCCCATGATAACACAGGCAGGTAATTGATTAGCACCAGGAAAGGGAGATATTTTTCAAGAGAGCATACCTGAGTGCACAATGGACTCAAAAAAATCTGCTAAAAGAAATGCTTTGTTAAATGATTGCTACTTCCCATAACCTTTAAAATTAAGACATTTCCATCGTGATGACAAACCCTGTCAATGTCTGTGAATGAATTGTGCTCTGGTTGAATTTCTCTGTGGGGTTTTCTGTTGGCTCTTTCTAGAGCCCTTTGCAGATTCAATGGATGTTGCATTTCCTTCCTGTCTTGAATTGCAGTGTAAGGTGGCTGGGAGCTTTTAAAGTCACTGTTACTCAATAGGGTGGCAACATTATATTAAGAAATAAGTATGTATACCTTGAGAAAATACATCCTGGTGAGAAATTCCTGCTGTCACTGTCGTGGTTAGTAATCCTGAAAGATGTGCTTTGTGTCTCAGATTGGAAATGGTGAAGGTTAAAATATCCAACTTCCCCGTAAGCTCTGAGTGCAGCTGCAATGGGTTTGTGTTTAGTATTCAGACAGTAGTGCCAGAATCCTACACTCAGATAAAAGATGTGACAGGGGGTGGAAAAAACTTCTCCTCTTGCACTTGGCCATCAAACCGCAGCAGGTGAGTGATGGGAAAATGCCAGGAAAGAACAGAAATATCCATGGAGACCTCAAAGACTCCATCTCAGTGACAGAGGTGATATATTCAGCTCTGGGTGTGCATTTGAGGTAGAATTTCTTGTATGATTACTGCAGTTAAGAAGATTACCAAGCAGCTGTAAAATCCTGCATGCACTCGGTTGTCTGAGAACATTAACATTTTTAGAAAAGAGCTCTGAAATCAGCTCTTCATTCTCCTGACGTTCATCCCAAGGAAGCTCTGCCACCAAGGTCAAGTCCAAGAGTTGATTTGTTGGGGGTGTGTGCATTTTGGTGATAAAAGAGCAAATATAATTTCTTACTTGGCTATTTATGTAATTTCCCACAAAGGTGGATACGTCCCTGTAGTTTGATGACCTGTGACAAAGCAGTCTAGTAATTAATTTCAAAATGCTGCAAACCCCAAGGCAGAGTCCCAGAGAAGTAGCAAGGTTTCGTTAAAGGGAAAGCATGTTTGTCTGCTTTTTAACTTCTAACGTGTCACTTTAATCCACTCCAGAGACAATGGGACTTTTTGTAAACAAGGATTTAAAAGAAGGATTCAGGGAGACCTCAGAGTCCCTTCCAGTGCCTGAAGGGGCTCCAGGAGAGCTGGAGAGGGGCTGGGGACAAGGCCTGGAGGGACAGGACACAGGGAATGGCTCCCACTGCCAGAGGGCAGGGCTGGATGGGAGATTGGGCAGGAATTGTTCCCTGGCAGGGTGGGCAGGCCCTGGCACAGGGTGCCCACCCTGGATCCCTGGCAGTGCCCAAGGCCAGGCTGGACAGGGCTTGGAGCAGCCTGGGACAGTGGAAGGTGTCCCTGCCCATGGGTGTGGAATAAGATGAGGTTTAAGATCCCTTCCAACCCAAACCATTCTGTGATTCTGTGATTCTGTGGATTTTTCAGAACTGTATTTCCAGCCCCAGGCACTCCCACTTGACTTCTACAAGGCTCATGTTGCTTTTCAGAACACTCACAGTTGTTATTTATAGAAAAGCTTTTAAGGGAAGTCTCAGATTCTGTAACTGTGGGCTCATTCCAGAGAATCTAAAGCTCAGTTGATCAGCTTCTCACATTTCCTTACTTCAGGTAAAGCAAGATTTCAGAATTATTTAAATAGTTTTTAAGCGTGTTTTTAATTCTTTGCCTGCTGATGTTTGCTGTTAAAAACCTGACTGCAATATATTCATTTTTGTGATAGGTTTCCTTTTTCATCTCTAGCATTGACAGATGAACCTGGACTGCAAGATCCCTGTTAGGAAGGTAAGTTGGATGCTTTAGAGACTGTAAGCTGCCAGGAACTTTTCTTTACTGTAGAAGAAGAAATTCTTTTCTGTGAGGGTGGGCAGGCCCTGGCACAGGGTGCCCAGAGCAGCTGTGGCTGCCCCTGGATCCCTGGCAGTGCCCAAGGCCAGGCTGGACAGGGCTTGGAGCAGCCTGGGACAGTGAAAGGTGTCCCTGCCATGGCAGGGGTGAAATGGGGTGGGCTTTAAGTTCCCTCCCAACCCAAACTGTTCTGGGATTCAGTGACTCTGTAATGAAATGATGCATTTCATTGATGCAGGTAGAGAAGTGCAGTTAATACCAGTTTGCTGAGTGTCCCTGACAGTGGGATACTCAGGATTCTCACTGCAACTGAGAGATGTGGACTACATTTAATTTATTATTATACTTCTATCATGAGTAACGCCAGAAATTGCGTTGCTCAGATTTAAGTGAAGAGATTAATCCAAGTGAGAGGGGCATAGAACCATAGAAAATCCAGAGCTGGAAGGGACCCCCAGGGATCATCAGCCCAGCCCCTGTCCCTGCACAGACCCCCCAAAACCCCCACCCTGAGCACCCTCGGGGGGAGAACCTTTCCCTGAGCTCCACCCCAAGCCCCTGACAGGAGGGTCCTGGTTAATTTGGTTCTCCACACTGACAGTGAGAGGTTGGGATGTCCCACCAAAGGAGAGTCCTCCTGTCCATAAATGAAATGCTACATGTGCTCAGTGTTTCTATGTGTCACTGACTCCTCTGTCCCATTTTTTATTGCCTATGTGGAAAACCACAGAATTTATTGCAGCACATAAAATTGTACAGTGCATGACTCAAGCCCTCTCCCATCCTGTTTGCTCAGTTCTTCTTGGTTTGATATGCACTAGGAAAGGTCATTTAAATGTAATTACCTTTTTTCATAAACAGTTGCAATTCTCTTGACTGTGCAATGAGAGCATTGGCTTTCTTGATCAATATCAAATAAGCAAATATTAAAAGTTGCTCATGTTAAATATGATGAAAGGGAATCCTGTTAGAGATTAAATTAAAATTGCAGTAGCCGGTCTTGCCTGAAACCTCTGTGACTCAGGGCAGAAAGTTGATGAAGAAGGCTTCAGCTTGGACACCAGATTCATGGTTTCATATTTTCAAAGGCACTGGCTACTGTAGCTTTAGGTGAGGTTTTGCAATATAAGCTTAATTTCTGTGTATGGTGTAGTGGTGGTGATGAACTTCTAAATAACTTTAAATTCCATCTTCCATAGTGTGTGGGAAGAACTGCAGATTTCTGTGTACTTCCTCCATATAGTGGCCTTCATTTCAGTTGGGTTGTTACCATTTTATCTCCTTCTTCTCCTGGCAAAAAATGATGGCTTTGAGGGGAAAAAAAACCCATAATCAGAGCACTTGGAATCCTGAAAGAATACATTTGATGCACACAGTAAAAAGAGAGACAGGTACAAAAGCAGAGGGTGAAGGAGGTGGAAAAAATTACAAACAAGAAATGCTGCATAGTAATCATATTGCATGTATGAAATAATGCTCATATTATTGCAATTTTTGCCTGTAATAATTCCTGGGTTAGTCTGATAGCTTGTGTTTTAAATAGACAATTGCAGGTAGATTTGTTGCACTACAATTCTCCAAAATTGTGTAATCCCTGGTGGGACAGTGGAGCCAGGTGGGGTCAGTCTCTGCCAGGTAACGAATGACAGAACAAGAGGAAACAGCCTCAAATTGCAGCAGGAAAGGTCTGGGTTGGATATAGGGGAAACCTTCATGGAAATGGGGGTCAGGCACTGGCACAGGTGCCCAGGGCAGTGATGGAGTCATCATGCCTGAAGTGTTCAAATGTGTGGCTGTGGCACTTGGGGACATGGTTTAGTGGTGAACATGGAGGTGGTGCTGGGCTGACAGTTGGACTTGATGATCCTGGAGGTCTTTTCCCACCTTAATGATTCTGTGATTCCATAACCATTGCAGAAATTGCACTGTTGTGTAAGAGTTGAGTTGCCTGTAGCAACAGTTCCTTTCCTTCTGTTATGTTTCCTTCCTCCCACTCCTTGCTCTAGAAGAAACTCTTCCCACAGCAAAACATGTAGAACGATATAATAAAGAGAAATAAATCCCACACACACTCTGGTATCATGTGTATCCTTTAAACATTTTGTCACTTTAGATTTCTGTCCTCTGGCCTGCAGTGCCTGAAGCTGCCAGGTTTTGTTGTATGGGTTTGGGGTTATCCCCTACCCTTTGGAGCAGGGATCTGGGGGCTGTTTGTGCAGCGAGGTGCAGACATGGAGACATTTCCTTCTCAGGGGTTTGGAACAAAGCTGACTGAGCTGTAGCACAGCTTTGGTGCTGTCATAGTGGTACCTGGAAAAAGAGTGCAATGCAGAGGACCAGAGCTGGACACTTGGGTTGTTGGACATGACACCAGCAGACAGCAAGAGAATTGCCACAGGCTTCAGCTTCATGTATTTGTTGAAGGCTGGGAGAGCTGGGGGTGCTCCTCTGGAGAGGAGAAGCTCCAGGGAGAGCTCAGAGCCCCTGGCAGGGCCTGAAGGGGCTCCAGGAGAGCTGGAGAGGGACTGGGGACAAGGCCTGGAGGGACAGGACACAGGGAATGGCTCCCACTGCCAGAGGGCAGGGCTGGATGGGAAGGAGTTCTTGGCTCCCAGGCTGCCCAGAGTAGCTGTGGCTGTCCTGTCCCTGGCAGTGCCCAAGGAAGGCAGGCTGGAGGGGGCTTGGAGCAACGTGGTCTAGTGGAAGGTGTCTCTAACCATGGCAGGGGGTGGGACTGGATAATTTTTAAGGGTCTCTCTCAGCCAAAACCATTGTGCAATACTGTGATTCTTCATTTAAAGTTCAGTTTCAAATCACTCTTCACATTCCTTCAGGCTTTTTGGAGTATTTTGAATTGCATTTTAGAACTTACTGAAAAACATTGTTGCTACATTGTTTATTGTGAAATGAGGCTGTTTTTTCTTTAAGTACATTTCTGGGAAGTTCTGCTTAGATATTCTGGTGATAGGCCATACAAAAAATGTGTTGGAGAGGGATGTATTTCAAATCTTCCATAGATGTTTACATAGATGCATTGTTTTGTAGAATCAGAATCCCAGAATGGCTGGACTGGAAGAGACCTTAAAGCCCATCCAGTTCCACCCCCTGGACAGGGACACCTCCCACTGTCCCAGGCTGCTCCAAGCCCTGTCCAATCTGGCCTTGGGCACTGCCAGGGATCCAGGGGCAGCCACAGCTGCTCTGGGCACCCTGTGCCAGGGCCTCAGCACCCTCATAACCAGAAATATTTCTTCCTAATATCCCATCAAAACCCACCCTCATTCAGTTTAAAGCCTTTCCCCTTTGTCCCATCATTACATGGCCATTGTATGAACTAACCCAGTGTCCTGAACTCTGCTGGAGCTGGTGCTGTCCCCCTGTACACTCAGTGCTGCCATAATCTTTGTTTTGACGTCCAATTATCATCCTCTGATACTGGTAAAGCAGAAAGATTGGGAAATGTTAAAATATCTTGAGCACTTTCTATCCTGACCTTAGTCAGATCAAAAGAGGATGAAAAGGTTAATCTGCTGCAAAAATATTTCCTCATTAGAAATTCGGAAGTAAAGCCATTGGATACTGCCACAAGTGCTGCCACTAATGGGAGCCAAGTTATGATACCAGATACTAAAGATTTTGACTGATGGAGCAGTCCCTGTTCAGGGCAAGTGACACAGATGGCTGAAAAAACCAAGAGCCAGATGTGGGACAAGCCTCTGTGTGCTGCACACAACACACCAGCATGGACACTGCAGCCAAGGCCTGGTGTGTGCTCATAAAACAGCTGCCCTGACATGGGGGCTGGGTGCTGCCAACTCAGCTGGGTGTTCAGCTGCTGCAAATCTTCCCCTTGTCCCTTGACCATCCCAATCTCTGCTTTCTTGCTGGGGCAGAGATTCGGGCATTGTTATTTGCTCTGCACATGTCTAGGGAAAATATTCTGTCAGCACTGTTCCATGGGGCTGCAGGGGACAGGGGAGTCACTCCTGGAGGCAGCAGCCTGGCTCCTGGTGATGCAGGAGAGCTGCAGGAGTACCAGAGTGCCTCAACAGTGCTGGACACAGCTGCTCGCAGAAGGGTGAGCTTAAGGCAACAACTAAAGTTTATTCAGGGTGAAAAAGCCTTTCAAACGATCCTCTCTGCAAATGAACCAACAATTACCTGCAGAGCTGCCTCTAACTCTGTGCCCCCAATACCAGGAGGATGTAGAGCTGCTGGAGCCAGGCCAGAGCAGCCACGGAGATGCTGCAAGGGCTGGAGCCCCTCTGCTCTGGAGCCAGGCTGGGAGAGCTGGGGGTGCTCCCCTGCAGAGGAGAAGCTCCAGGGAGAGCTCAGAGCCCCTGGCAGGGCCTGAAGGGGCTCCAGGAGAGCTGGAGAGGGACTGGGGACAAGGCCTGGAGGGACAGGACACAGGGAATGGCTCCCACTGCCACAGGGCAGGGCTGGATGGGAGATTGGGCAGGAATTGTTCCCTGGCAGGGTGGGCAGGCCCTGGCACAGGGTGCCCAGAGCAGCTGTGGGTGCCCCTGGATCCCTGGCAGTGCCCAAGGCCAGGTTGGATGGGGCTTGGAGCAGCCTGGGACAGTGGAAGGTGTCCCTGCCCTTGGCAGGGGTTTAGAAAGTAGTCAAGGTCTCTTCCAGCACCAATCATTCTGGGATTCTGTGAGTCTGTATTTTTGGGTGGAAATATAAATCTTTGATGTGATAAAGCATGTTTTAACTCAGTGACATTCCCTTTAAATGCTGGAGATTGGATGTCAAAGACATGTCTGCTTTTATGACTTATTGCCATTTTCTGGTTCCCTTTTTGAAGGTCTGAAGTGCAGGGCAGACTCCTCAGGCTGGAGGGTAAATTTCTGGGGAATCCAATGGTATTCCCCAAGAGGACTGAAAGGGGTTGGGTTGGCAAAAGAGAGCCTTGGGTTTGGGATTGCTAATGCCCAGATCCTGCTGAGATGACTGGAGATGACTGAGGGAGTACTCCCTGTGTGTGACACCGAGTTCTTCGGCCCGTGGTCATGTCTGTAACAACAGCCAGATGTGGCAAAACCCAAAAAGCACAGAACATTTCTGTTTGTCACAGGGAGCCTTGTGCAGATCCTGGGAGTGCAGCGCAGAGCTGTAAGGATGAACTCATGTGTTTATTCTCCAGCCAGAACAGACCAAGTTTCTAAGGATCCATCCCTACAAATGCAGGGAATAATGCAAGGAGTGCTCCTGGGGAAACCCGCCCCAAGAATCCTGTGAACAGTCTGGCTTGAATGGCTTGGGGAAGTTGGTTGTGTATGGAAAAATATAACCAGGACCTGAAAGTATCTGCTAGTTTGGATGAGTTTTCTTCTACACTGCCTTCACCCTTGAATTGCCAATGTTTTCTGAAGGCTTAAACATCATTTTATTAATTTTTTTTTTTTTTAAGTACACCCAGAAAGGTCCCAAGACCCCTGAATGAAATCTAGTGTTTGCCTACAACGGCATTTTCTTCTTTTTCACCATTTTGCTCAGAATATTGGAAATGCTGAACTTTAGTGCAGAACTGGTGTCTGGTTTTGTGGCTGGGATTATGAGCTGCAGAGGTGGTTATGCCTTCCCCACTTGTGTGGGTGCTGCAGGATACAGATAAGCTGCTTCTCTTTGACAGCAGTACTCATTTAAAGCTTTCTGTGCCATTGCCTGTCCCAACCCGTGGTGCCTCTGGATTGTCAGCCCCAGAGGAACAGTGAAGAGTGGCCTGGATCAACCTGCTCTGAGGCTCACAGAGCCGATGCTGAGACAAGATTACACCTGGGGATCCCTGGTCCCAGCTCTTCCTCTCCTAGGACTGAGTCCCCCTGCAGAGCTGCTGCCACCAGAGGCACCCACCCCGCTGTCACTGTCACTGTCACTGCTCTGGCCAGGCCAGCAGCGGTGACAGCAGCTGTCCCTGCGTGCAGGGGATGCCACCACAGAGCCACAGGGAACAGGATCTGGTGAGTTCCAGTTCCCTTCCAGCGAGGGTGTGTAACTCTGCCCTCAAAGGGCAGAAGTTGCTCTAAGTGTTGTCAAATAATGACTCATTTCTGACGGAGGTTTGAGGGCACAGGCAGCGCCAGCGCAGCCTCAGCAGCAGAGAAATCAGGAAACTGAGCCCCAGCCCTGCCTGGGAGCTACTCTTGGACGTGGTGTTGGGCTCTGTGCAGGACAGAGTCCCCAGGAGCTCAGAATCCAAGCCCAGGCCCAGCTGGAGCTTCCCTGACAGCGCTGTCCCTGGCTGAGAGGTAAGAGCCAGGCCCGAGGGCGCTGAGGGCAGCGAGCGTCCATTGCCATGGCTGAGGAGAGACCTGCTCCAGGCAGCAGGGAGGGATGGGCACGGTGCTAGCTAGCATGGTGGGCAGGGGAATGCCCGTTTCCAGCCCAGGAGCTGCAGCTGCCCTCTGCCCGAGTGCCGCCCGGGGCAGCTGGCAGCGTGCTCCGGAGGGCACAGCGCGGCTCATCGCAGCGGGCAGCGTCCCCTCCTGCCACAGGGCCCGGCTCTGGCACCGCCTGGCTGGGGGAACTGTGCACTGGGGATGAGCTTCAGCTCTCCAGTCAGGGTTGGGACAGCTCTACCATCCCCCACTATGTTTCTGTGCTTCTCAAACTTATTGCAATTCCTCAGGTTTACGAATTCATAAAGTACAGAACAGCCCCAAAACAAAGAAGGGGGCAAATATCTCCTCTCAGGCTTTCTGCCTGCACACTCTGCTTGCGGGAACATGGGAATCTCCTGGATCAAGCACCTCCAGGAGCAAAGAGCTGCTTTAGGACAAGTGTTCCCAGGAGGGAGGTGATTCCCTGCTGTCCCTGCTGGTGCCTGGGTGAGGCACTGGCTGCTGTCCAGGCTCTGCTGGCTGCAGGTGTCCATCTGGGGGTGTGTGTCCATCACCGCGGCCCAGGGCCAGCTGGGCAGAGGAGAAGCTCTTCCCTTTGGTGCTCGAGTGGGGGATCTGTCCCTTCCCAGCACCAAGTGCTGTTTGCACACGGGGGCAGGACTGACCAAACAGTTGCTGCTTTTCACCTGAAAGTTCTGTCCTGGAGCAGCAGAAAATGCAGGACAGTTGTCAGAGCTGCCATCAGTCCTCCTGGCTCAGCCAGCACATCCCTCCTTAGGCAGAATGTACCTCGGCAGGGGTATGGAGCACACCCTGTTCTGAAGCTCTGTGTTCATGAAGCTGTCACCATCCTGGAAGTGACCTGAGCTGCACATGGGGAGCAGGCACACAGAGCTGCCTGTGCAGCCCCAACTTCACCACGACAACATGTGTGCCATGAATGGGCTGCAAGGCAAGGGGATGGCAGTGCTGGCTAACGATGGCTTCTGGCAGAGACAAACAATACTAACCTTGTAGCAGTGGCAATTCTCCCTGTTTTGTTGTTCTGGATATGGGCTGGCAGAATCAGACAGTCCTTAGATCTGCACTGCCACAGAGAGGAGTTACCAGCAGTGATGCAGAGCAGTGATTGTGACTCACCTTCCAAAGGAGCAAGTCATCTCTGCTCCGAGGAGCTCATCCACAGTGTGGGCAGTGCGGGAGGGGGGATTCTGCACCTCTGCTCTGCTCTGATTAGACCCCAGCTGCAGAGCTGCCTCCAGCTCTCAGACCCCCAGCTTCAGGAGGACGTGGAGCTGCTGGAACCAGGCAAGAGGACACCACAAATGTGCTCTGAGAGCTGGAGCCCCTCTGCTCTGGAGCCAGGCTGGGAGAGCTGGGGGTGCTCCCCTGGAGAGGAGAAGCTCCAGGGAGAGCTCAGAGCCCCTGGCAGGGCCTGAAGGGGCTCCAGGAGAGCTGGAGAGGGACTGGGGACAAGGCCTGGAGGGACAGGACACAGGGAATGGCTCCCACTGCCAGAGGGCAGGGCTGGATGGGAGATTGGGCAGGAATTGTTCCCTGGCAGGGTGGGCAGGCCCTGGCACAGGGTGCCCACCCTGGATCCCTGGCAGTGCCCAAGGCCAGGCTGGACAGGGCTTGGAGCAGCCTGGGACAGTGGGAGGTGTCCCTGCCATGGCAGGGAGTTAAATTAGATGGGGTTTAAGGTCCCTTCCAAACCATACCATTCCCTGATTCTATGATCCTCCCAAGGAGGTGACAGTGGGGATGAAGGAGGAAAAGACACACAATTTTAGATTGCAAAGCTGTCATATGTATACCAGCATGACTAGCTGGTGTCAGGGGCAGCACAGGGACATTGTGCAATCATCCCACAGCCAGTGCATGTGACAGTCCCACCTCAGCCCAGCCTCCCCGGTGTCCCCAGTGCCAGGCAGCCCCCACACCAGCCTTGCTGCATTCCACGTCAGCAGGGCCATGTCTGGTGCCTCTCGGGACCCTGGTGACTCGGAGCTCCTGAAAGAGGAGGTGAAAAAGCCACGATAAAACCTGATAAAACCACATTACTCCCACACAGCTGTGGTGTTGGGCTCCTGCTGTGCCAGGGGGACTGGTGAGAGCTGGGGCCCCTCCTCGGTGGCAGAGAACAGAGTGCTGATCCTGCTGCCAGCTGTGTGTGGGACAGGAGTGTCCCCAGGACACAGCTGGCACAGGCAGAGTTTGCAGCCTTTTCCTCCACCCCGTGGCACGAGGCTGTGTGAGGGACAGGAGCTGCACTGGCCAGGGCAGTCTGTGGGACAGCAGGCGTAACCTGGGACAAGCCAGCTCAGCTCTGTCCCTCCACAGCCCCTTTGGTTTCTTCTGCAGGTGGCAGCAGGAGAGGACAGGGAGCCCCTGATGCGCTGACGGTTGGCCATGTCTGGGGTGAGCGGGGCTGCACAGGGACACCGACAATGCCAGCGGACACCGGGGCACCCCGGTGTGCCCCAGGATGAAGTGGGGTGGAGGAGGGCTCATGCCCAGTACCGCTGGTCCCCAGCCAGGGTTTCAGATGGTCCTTGGGGCTGGCCCTGGTGCCTGGGGAAGCAGAGGGGTCCAGCTCTCGCTGTCCCTACCGACACTGCCTCTCCTTGCAGAAGCACTGGCCCCCCGGGACGCAGTGTGTCACCAAGCATGACCACAGCAAGCCCAAGCCCCGGGAGCTGGCTTTCCGCAAGGGGGACATGGTCACCATCATCGAGGCCGTGGAGGTGAGAGCTGGCGGTGCTCAGGGACGGCCGGAGCGGGACTCCAGCGCCATCAGCTCGGCTCTCAAAGCCCGTCCCTCCTTTCCCAGAGGGATCTGCTCTTCCTTCTGTGGCTCTGAGACCCTCTCCTCCCCAGGGCAAAGGCTGGTACCGTGCCAGGCACAACGAGACGGGGCAGGAGGGGCTGCTGGCAGCCAGCGCGCTGCGGGAGCGCGGGGCCATCCGCGCCGACCCCAAACTCAGCCTGATGCCGTGAGTACACCTGGGGGCACTGGAGGGACCCCGGGGCCCAGCCGAGCCGAGCCCCTGCGAGCTGCAACAGCAGATGGGTCCAGCATGTTCCTCCATCCACGTTTTGGGGCCGCAGCTGGGACAGAGCATTCCTGTAGCCATGCCCTGGGGATGGAGGGGTTTGCTGGGGCCAGGACCTGGCTTTAAGGACCTCTAGTTGTGCCAGCCCAGCTGGGCTGGACCCCATGGAGAGGCAGTAGGGTCTCTGTAGCTTCGGCAGGGGTTCTGCTTCCCCCATCTCGCTGCTGTCCCTGGGGAGCCCCCCAGCTCAGCCCCCTCTGCGCTGCCTCTGTCCTCAGCTGGTTCCACGGGAAGATCTCGGGCACGGAGGCGGTGCAGGAGCTGCAGCCCCCTGAGGATGGGCTGTTCCTGGTGCGGGAGTCTGTCCGGCACCCCGGGGACTACGTGCTGTGCGTGAGCTTCGGCAAGGAGGTGATCCACTACCGCGTGGTGCACGAGGAGAACACGCTCAGCATCGACAGCCAGCAGTACTTCTCCAACCTCATCGACATGATTGAGGTGAGACCTCCTGGGCACAGGGTCCCACCAGTGCCAGAGAAGGGCAAGGACCCCAAGGCTCACACAGAGGCAGGTCCTTGTCCTGTTCTATGTGGTTTGCACTGGTGTTTTACCTGGTGTAATTCTCTGTCCCTTTCAAATGCTCATGGTTCTCACACGGTTTGGGGTGCAATGGGCAGATCTGGGATATCCCAAGGATGTTTCTGCAAACCAGCTGTGCCAGCTGCAGTCACAGTCCCCAGCCAAGGGCCACATTTTACCCCTATCCCTGCTTATTCAATGCTTCAGAAAGCAGGAAGACCCTGGTGGCCTCTATGTCCCCTGGACTTCAGGGCATTTTGCTGGGTCTCCTTCCACTCAAAGTCCCCTCTCACCTGCTGACCCCACAGGGCTCCCAGGCTGTTGTGTGAGCTCTTGCCCTTCCAGTGAGTTTTTCCTGGTGGTCCTTCCCTCACCCTGTCTCCTCTCCAGGGAGTTCACTCTCATGTTTTCCTTATAGATACAACTTTTGGGTGGCTCCTTTCCCTTCTCAGCTGCCCTGGCCCCACTTTAAAACTCCGAAGGTTGTCTTGTCCCATCCCATCCTGTCCCATCCTGTCCCATCCTGTCTGGCTGCTTCCTCTCCCATTGCCTCTGCAAACTGCCCTCAGCTGCTGCAGCACCTGCCAGGTGTTCAAACCACACCAGTAGCACCCCAAACCCCTGTGGTCCATCGTGGTGTTCCTCTGGCTGTGCCCAGAGGAGAGCAAGGCTGAGACATGGGCTGTCCTCAAGGGTGGCGAGGGTGCGGTCTTGTGGAGCATCCCAAAGCTGTTCCCTGAACCCCTTGGCCCTGAGGGTAAGAGCTGGCATCACCTCCATCTGCTCATCCCTTGGCAGCATTACATGAAGGAGCAGGGAGCCATCTGCACCAAGCTGGTGAAGCCCAAACCCAAATCTGGGATGAAGTCAGCTGAGGAGGAGTTGGCCAAAGGTAGGGGATGGTGGGATGGGGCTGTGGTCTGCATTTTAGGGACAAGGCCCCACTGGTGGCCCCTGCTAACCTGCCCTTGTGCCCATGCCCAGCTGGCTGGTTGCTGAACCTGAAGCACCTCACACTGGGAGACCGCATTGGGCAAGGCGAGTTCGGAGGTAGGTGAGAGGATGGGGCTGGAGGTTTGCAGGTGCAGCTTCCCCAGAGAGCACTGCCTGATCCCCCTCCCCATCTCATGGCATGGGGAGCTCAGCCTGGAGGGCAGGAGGCTGGTGTGGGGTTCAGCCTGACTCCCCCATGCTCTCCCAGATGTCCTACAGGGCGAGTACCTGGGGCAGAGGGTGGCTGTGAAGAACATCAAGTGTGATGTGACTGCCCAGGCCTTCCTCGCTGAAACAGCTGCCATGACGTGAGTGCTCCGTGGAGGTGTGGCCCGACCCTGCCTGTGGCCCAGGATGACCAGGCACCTCCTTGACTCAGATCCCCTCCATTCCAGGAAGGTCCGGCACAAAAACCTGGTGTGTTTGCTGGGAGTGATCCTGCACAACGGCCTCTACATTGTCATGGAGTTCATGAGCAAGGTGAGAGCACCTGGCTGCTCCTCAGCCAGTGGGACCCATCACCACTTGGATTTGGGAACGATATCTGTGTCTAGAGGCTGAGGCATCGCACATGCCAGCACTGCAGCACCTGCAGAAGGCAAAGTCTTCTGGCAGCCCCATCCTGTTGGTCCTGACACGTTTTATCCTCCTCTGTCAGGGCAACCTGGTGAACTTCCTGCGCACGCGGGGCCGGGCGCTCGTCCCGACCCAGCAGCTCCTCCTGTTCGCTCTGTAAGTTCCCCTCTCTCCTCTGGGCTGGGATCATCCAGGGCCCTGCATCACCCTGGGCAGCCCCAGGGGACACTGGGTGACACGGCTCTATCTCACTCGGTTGTGGCAGGGATGTGGCTCAAGGCATGGACTACCTTGAATCCAAGAAGTTGGTGCACCGGGACCTGGCTGCCCGCAACATCCTCATCTCCGAGGAGAACGTGGCCAAAGTCAGCGACTTCGGCTTGGCCCGGGTCAACCCCAAGGGTGCAGATGCCACGTTGCTCCCTGTGAAGTGGACAGCACCAGAGGCCCTGAAACACAACGTGAGGGACAGTGAGAGGGGCTGGGCTGGCCAGGGGGTCCTTCCAAAGTATCTCACAGCCTTGGGTTATCCCTGCTTGTTCCCATTCCCACTGGCCCATCCCTGTCCCACGCTGGCCTCTGGCACTGTCAGCCCTGCATCTCCCAAAATCCTGTCTCTGTCCTGAGCAGGCGTGCAGTGGGAATTGGGGCAGGATGATGGGACTGGGGGGGTGTTCACACCCTGGGGAGCTGAGGCGGGGCAGGGGGCAGTCACTGTCCTGTGTCTCACCCTTGGGAAGCAACAGGGACCCAGCACAGCCCTCAGCCTCCCCCTCTCCTGCCGCCACAGAAATTCTCCTCCAAGTCGGACGTGTGGAGCTACGGGATCCTCCTGTGGGAAACCTTTTCCTTTGGACGGGCACCCTACCCTAAACTGGTGAGCACTGTGCCAGGGAGCACCGCAGCTTACACCCCAGTGGCACTTATGGGACAGGGACATCCCGTTGCTCCCTGAGCAGAGCAGGGAAGGGGGTTGCCAGCTGGCTTCTCCATCCTGGCAGGCCCTGAAGGAGGTGACAGAGCTGCTGGAGCAGGGGTACCGCATGGACGCCCCCGAGGGCTGCCCGCCCACCGTCTATGCCCTGATGAAGAGCTGCTGGGAGCTGGAGCCAGGCAAGCGCCCGTCCTTCAAGAAACTCACAGAGAAGCTACAGAAGGAGCTGAAGCACCTGAGGGACATTTAACCCCATCCTGCTACCAGGACACGGGACCTGAAGCCCCTAGATCCTCCAGGGCTGGCTGTGGCAGAGCAATAGGGGCCAGGAGCAGGAAGGCCCATGGTGCTGCTCTCTCCTTGTGGAGATGGGGCAGCAGCTCCCCTCCATCTCAGCACGGTCCTTCTACCCGCCACACAGCCCAGAGAAGGTTGCCATGGGATGGATCTCCCTTGGCCCACCCCAGAGGGGAGCATGGCCCCAAGGGAGCCATGCCCACCCCCCTTGTGCTCAGCCCCAGGAGCAGATGCTGCATGTGGGGTCCCTTCAAGCTGAGACTCCCAGTGATGGGAAACAGGACTGGAATGTCCACTCACTGGATAATGAGATCCCACCCTGACTCAGCTCTGCCCCAGCACCCAGCCCCACATGAGGATGCTGGCATAGCCAGCTAAAGCACATGGATTTGGGCTTTTTGATTAAACCAAAGAAATTAGTTCAACAGCATCTTTAAGCCTCTGGGGTGAAATTAGGTCTGTCTCTCACTTGGAGCCTGACAAAGCCCAGTGAAAGGCTCTGGGGGGGCCAGGAGCTCTGGCCCTTGGAACCCCCGATGCCATCCAGCCCCTCTCCCACCGGAGCTCTGTGCAGCAGGGGATTATGCTTTAATCAGAGGCTGTATGGGAATTGCTTTTGTATAGATTATGGGCACGGGGCACATCCCCAGCCGTGGGGAGTCCCTGGCCCCGCAGGCTGCCGAGCAATCTCGAGTCTCACGGAGCAGGGATTAGCGGGGGCACGGGGCTGCCGCGGGCGGGTGTGCACCGCCACCGCCTCGTCTGCTGCCAGTCCCTTTGACCCCCGACTGGGTTTTTTTGGCTAATCCACTTGTGTCTCCTCTGTGCTGACTCCCTACACCCCCAATCCCCCCATGTGCGTGGTTCTGGGTGCCCACAGCATGGGGCTCTCCCCAGGACTTGCCCCGGCCCCATTGGGTGCTGACCCAATTTTGGAGCCACGGTGGGTATGTCAGCCTGACCCAGTGTGTGCTGCAGGTCCATGGCTCCTTCCACCTCCCCATCACTGTGATGTGGCAGCACCTGCTGTCCCCCTGCACTGCCACTGTCCCCTGCAAGCACCCTTGGGTGCAGCAAAGGGAAGGTCCTTCCACCCTGGCTGTGCCTTCCCCTCCTAATGCCTTAATCCGCCCCTGATCCGCGGTGCCCCTGGGGCTGGTCCCACTGACCTTGCAGGCACTGGGACCCGCTGGGCACCTTGGGGCAAGAGCTGCCACCACCACCCACCATGGCCTCCTTCTTCACGGCTGCCCTGAAGAGCTTCCAGGGGGGCAAGGACGAGTCCCCCAAGGGGTCCCCCAAGGATGACAAGGCAGCTGCACTGTCCAGCAGCGTTGCCCGGGAGGAGTTTGAGGAGTACCAGCGGCAGCTGCTGGAGGAGAAGTAAGGCTTTGCCGGGGCTGAGAGGGTCTCTAGGGTCTCCCAACACTCCAGAATCAGCATCTCACCTGCTGTGGGCTTTGCCCAAGGTGGCACAGGACAGGGACAGGGACAGGGAGGCAGCTGGGGCAAGGGACAGTGCAGAGCAGGTGCCCTTCAGTGTGTCTCCCCCACAGCATGGGAGGTCCATGGAGGGGCTGGCACAGGGCTGTGACAGCACCTTTGTGCACCACAGGTGACAAGGGGAACCCCCCAGGTGTCAGAGCCACAGGACAGTTCCACCCAGCACCCTTGGAGCCAAGGGTGGGGAATGGGGGTCAGCACGGGATTGGATTCAGGTCCCACCTCCCTGGGACCAGGTGCTGTGGGAACCCAGCAGCTCAGCACCAGGGAGATGGGTTCCTGCAATGGGTGCCTTCATCAACCGCCTCTGAATCTGGGTGCTGAGCTGGGTGGACAGCATGTGGCTCCTGCTCCCACATCCCCACTTGAACCCTCTTGGGGGTCTCACACCTTCTCCCTCGTGCCCTAGACCCACTCTGCAGGAGGACCAGGGTGATCGGGTCAGGGTGGTCCTGGGGGCTCAGTGAGGAGGGGGTGATGGTGTGGCACCCGCTGCAGGATCGAGCGGGACAAGGCGTTTGCACAGAGGAAGGCAGAACGGGCCACGGTGCGGATGCACCTGCGAGACAAGTACCACCTGGCCCAGGTAAGAACATCCTGTCTGCGGACCCGGGGGCTTCCCCTTGACCCTGCATGGCCCGGAGCAGCCCCAGGCCCCCGTACTCCCCTGGGCTGGAGGCATTCCTGAAGAGGGCAGCAGACGGCCACTGTCTGCATCTGTCTGCCGCCACTGTCCACCCAGCGTCCGAGTGTGGCCCTGGGCAGTGCTGGAATCCCACGGTGTCCCCAGCACCGCCGGCTGCTCGCTGTCCCCGACCCCGCTCCACCGCGTCTGTCCCCACCCGACGCCCTCTCCCACCCGCTTTAGGACGAGCGGGACGACGCGCAGCTGCACATGGCTGGAGGGGCGGTGGAGCTGCCGCAGGACCTGGCAGCCATGGTGCACAGCGAGGAGGAGGAGGAGGAGGAGGGCAGCGCCGGGGCCTTCGCCTTCCTGGCCAAGCTGCGGCCGGCGGAGCTGCCGGCGCTGCGGGACCGCGCTCTGGGCGGTGTGGGACAGCTCAGGGAGAAGTGTGCCCTGATGTAGCAGCGCTGCCCGCCCCGGGAGCCACAGCTTGCGGAGGCTCTGGGTGTTCCCAGTGCCCTGACTGGGGCTGGGGGTCCCAATACACGTTAGGCGTGGGTTTTCTCCCCCAAAACCATCCCCACTTGCTTTCCCAGGGTGTGCAGGGGTGCGGAATGGCTGGGTGCCTTCCAGCCGGTGTGGTCAGGTCCCTCTCGTGGTGCTCCTGGTGTGAGCCCCCATATGGGGCAGGTCCCTGACACTGTTACCCCCCTCACCAGCCCTGGCACCGTGCACCATTTGGCTCAATAAATACAGCATTTGTCAGCACCATTCTGGTCGTCCTGCCACATCCCGCACCCGCACAGCCCCTGTCCTGGCTGGGGAGGGGATATGATGACAGCGCTGGAGTCGGGCTGCCCCATGTCCCCTGAGCCACCAGCCAGCCCGGGACGCTTGGCCACTGGGTCCGTCCCTGCTTCTGCAGCAGCCCCCGCTGGGAGCCAGTGATCATCCTGGCCACCCCTTGGGGACGGCACCGGGAGCGGTGCGGAGCATTTACCCCGGTGCTGGAGCAGCGCGGGCGGGCAGCAGGAGCATCCCTCTGGCTGAGCATCCCTCTGGCTGAGCATCCCTCTGGTGCCCGGCTGCCCCTTGCCCCGCCGGGGGCTCTGTCCTGGGCGCTGGGCAGCAGCGCTGGCTTAAATGCTGCCTCGCCGGAAGGCCGGGGGCTGCTAAGATCACTAATACCTGCCTATTTTAGCGAGGTCTAATCTTCCTGAGTGCCTGTCCCCGAGGACTAAGCTCGCTGAACCCGTGTAAAATGTACGGCCAGCCCGGCCCCAGCGGCACCTCCCGGCGGAGCCGGAGCCGGAGCCGGAGGGAATCACGCTGTGTGTGCATGAAAGGAAGGACGCGCTGAGCTGCTCCATCCTCCCCACGCCGCTGCCATCTGCTCCGGAAAGGCGGCGGGGAGGTCCTGCCCGCGCTGCCCACGGCCGCGGGTGGGCTGGAGCTGTGTCACCCAGCTCAGCGCTGCCACCAGCGCCATCGGGCTCAGCCCCGCTGAGGATGTCCCTGCATGCACGAGGTGCCCAGTTCCCCCTGGAGCCCCTCCGGGTACCAGTCCGGAGGCTGGTGGCTGCTGGAGCCAGGGAGCGTGAGACAGGCTGGGCTTGACACTGGGGAGCCTCGGGATCTTTGGTGGCCCCACTGTCCCTGCTGACTTCATCATCCCTGCTGTCTCTGCCATCATCCTCATCCCCGTTCACCAGCTTTCCTTCAGAATTTGGGAACTCTCTCTTGAGGCCTGTGGGATGGGACCGCCTGTGCCACGCCAGTGTCCCTCCAGGATCCCGACAGGGTGTCAGCAGCTGTGGCACCCAGCACAGCGCTGATCCCACCCCGCATCGCCACCAAGTGCCAGCTGCTGAGATGGTGGCGCTGAGGTCCCCGACGAGCTCTGCCACCACCACCTCAGTGCTCCATCCCGCTGCACATCAGGGTGCCATCCTGCTCCGATGGGCAGCCCTCCCCCAGTGCTCCCAGCGGGGCTGCAGGGGACTCCCAGCGCCAGCTGGATTCGGGTCAGGACCCTCCGCCAGGTCTCCTTGGCTAATCGTGCTGCCCCCCCGCCCTCCCCGTGCTGCCACCTGCCTCCCGCCCAGCACCCTTTTGGGTCACCCTGCTGCCTCCCCGCCTGCCGAAGGCCTCTTAATGAACTAAAAAAGTGATAAATCCCGGCCGAGCTGCTCACGTGAGGCCGGTGGCCCCCGGCCGCCCCCCGGCCGCCCCCCGGCCCGGCCCCACCGCCCCGGTAAGCTGACGCAGCGTCTCTAAGCGTTAGCAGCTTTGCGAGCTAATAGGATTAGGGAGGTTTAAAACTGTCATTTGAGTGAACTAAACCCCCTGATACTCTGCATTGCACCTTCTTAACCAATTTGCCTTCAATTAGGGTAATTGGGAAACTAGCAAAGAAGTATAGCATTAATATTTTAAAGTGATGAAGCGATTACGGGCCTTGGACAAGGAAGCAAATCAATTTGCTATCTGCTCCTAAAAGGCAATTATAATCATTTGGCAAATCGGCCTGCTGCCTCCCCCCGGACGAGGCAACACCTTGTGGCAGTGTGGGGCTGGCACACAGCGCCGGGGCCGGGCAGCTGGGCAGTCCCCCGCCCCCAAACCCGCACCCTGGGGACCTCCCTGCACCCCCGGGCCAGTGGGACACCCTGGGGACACCTGCTGAGGGCCAACAGTGTGGGGCACACGGCTCCCACGCTCGTCACAGTGTCCAGAATGGCGTCCGGGCAGGTGGGGTCCAGCTTGCCCCCCTGCCCCACACGTGGCCCCTGCCCCACACATCACCCCTGCCCAGGGATGGCCCCAGCACCTCTGCAGGCAGCAGCTCCCTGCTCTCCCCTGCACTCCTGCAGCGCTGCATGGCTGTCACCCCTCCCCAGGGGCTGCCTGTGCAGCTCATGCCGTCCCTGGGGCGTGGACTTTCTGTCCCCAGGGCAAGGGATGGCACCCCAGCCTGTCCCCTGGGGTGGTGGCACACTGTCCCCAGGGTAGTAGCATGCCGTCCCCAAGACAACATCACACAGGCCCCAAAGAAATGTGAGGCAGGGCAGGTGAAGCATCACAACCCCACTGGGGGACAATGGGATGGCCTCGGGGCCCACAGCAGGACACAGAGTGGGCAGCAGGGTCTCGCTACCAGCAGCTCTGGTGGGGAGGGCACAGACCCACTCAGGGGCCAGCAGCCACCTGGCACAGGGTGCTGGGGTCCAACAGCCCCGCAGTGACATTTGCCATCTGAAAGGGGAAGCGTGGTAAGGAGGGGAAGGGAGTGGGAGGAAGCCGAGACAGGCCCGGGGGTGGCAGCGGTTGCAGGTGGCAGGAAGATGGTTTTGGGAGAAAGTAAAAGTGAGCAAAGAAAGAAAAGGGCAAAATCCACCCCACATGATGGGGGCTGTAGGCAGCACCAAGCACATCCCCCAGCACGGCCCAGGACCTCCACCATGATGTTTCCATCATTCTTTGGGGCCCAGGAGCAGCAGTGGGAGTGGGGAGGAGAAGAATGGTAGCCCTGCCCCTCAGCCTGGCTGCCTTTGTCCCACGCCCCCTTAGGCCAGGGCCCGTGGGCACCCTCAGGGATTGTCCCCACAGCTGGATCCCACAGCTGGTCCCCCACAGGGTGTTCCCATGCCTGGCCCTGGTCCCCATGGGCACTGCCCCATGGCGGCTCCCCCCACTTGGCCCTCCTGCCTGGTCCCCTGCTCTGCTCCTCGTGAGTGTTCCCTGCCTGCTCTTCATAGCAGCTTCCCACGGCTGTTCAGGGGGGCTGGTCTCTATGGCTGGTCCCTACACCTGGGCCCACAGCCAGACCCCAGAGCAGGTCCCCCGACCGTGTCCTCACCCTGGGTCCTCACAGTGCCTGGTCCCCATCCCTGTCCCCACACCTGTCCCCACCTCTGCTCCACATGGGCAGGGCTCTGCAGGCAGCATCACTGGGCGCCATAAGGCCACCCACACTGTCACAGGGCCGCCCCCAGGCTCGCCATCCCTGTCCAGGGGGGACAACACCCATCACTGCAGCATCCCCATCCCACCGAGCTTGGGGCATCTGCCCCGGACCCCATCGCTGGGGCAGAGGCTGCGGAGCCCAAGGAAATCCTGCCCCCTCCCCCTCCATCCTTTCTTCTCCGCTCCCCCTGTTTCTAATTCTTTCTCCTCGCCCGTAATGAGGGGATTACACGGCAAACTCCAGCAGGACGCCTTTGTGGGGAGACAATCCGAGTGGGGAAGGCAGTTCGGGGCTTTGTCCGCCACTGCCCCCCCGGACCCGTGCTGGGGGGACATTTAGAGCAATTACTTGTCCAGAAAGTAACTGTCAATCATTCTTAAAGGGGAAGGCCTCCAATTAATAACCTCGTCTTAATCCTTTGGACTCATTTCCAATCTGCGGTGCCTTGGTGACATCTGCAACACTAAATAAAGATTCTCCCGAGCCTTAGCACGGCGGTTCTGTGACAAATAAGAAGACTAGAGGCAACTTTGGCTGCCAAAGCTGCGAGATTGGTGAGGTTGAGCCGCTTGTTTGGTTCCCGGGAGGGACCAGCAAAGTTAAATACTCCTGGAAAAGCCGAGTTGGGCCCAGCAGGTAACGCCGTTTTTTTCCAATTCGGGACAAAGCGCTGAGGGAAGATACTGAGAAGGGGAGTGGGTGTCCCCAGGGTGTGCCCGGGACTGGTGTTGGGGACGGGGCTGGCGCCATTCCCTGGGGACTCAGCAGCGGGTGTGGGTGCCCACCAGTGTCACACAGAGCCAGGGGCAGGAGCCACCCGTGCTCCAACCACCCATCCCAGGGAGCCAAATTCTGGCACCCAGATGGGCTTCCAGAGGCAAAGAATGGGGTCCCAGTGGAAGGTGGGGCTGTCCCTGGACTGTCTCTTCCGCATCCCCTGCTGACAGGGCAGGCCACCTGTCCTCACTGATGTTCTGCTGCTTTGCAGTGCTCAGGAAGTGAGGGGTTTATACCCACTTTGACCAGGGCTCAGTGTAATTTCTGCTGCTTTTTTGGGTGTCTTTACCAGCAGCTGTTCCCTCCCCTCAGCTAGCAGCCCCCACAGGAAAACCATGAGCTGGAGCATCGAGGAGAGGGGGGGAAGAACTCTCTTGAGGTGTTGGGTGCTTATGGTTCCCAGCACAGTTTTGCAGTTTAAGGGCTTAAACCTGAAAATTGCTGCTAGCATGACAGTGGCTGCAGGCAGATGTCCTTCAGGAGCTGGAGTTTAGCCGTGTCACCACCCCCAGCTCAGTGTGGCCTGTTTCCAGTCAGGATTCCCAAAACACTGGTGGCAAAAGCTTGGGAGTCCTGAGGCCAGTCCCTGGAGGATGGGGAAAATGGGGGTGGTTGGTTGGTGTTGCTGTCCCCCCCAGCCTGATTTGTAATGCCCCTGTTCCCCACTCAGGGACACTCTGTGCCCCACCAGGCCGAGGCAGGCTGGGGTGGGGGTCCGGGGTGCCACCCCGCTGCTGGGTCCTGCTGCTCCGGTGTTCTGCTGTTCTTGGCTCATCTGTGCTCCCAGGGTGGGGTTGGCCGCTCCCTGGGAAGTTTTTGCCTCCTTTGCTTTCTGATGGTGTCGGGGGTGAGCCATGGGGCTCCGTCTCTGCACCTTAGCCTTGCTCCCCCACCATTGCCCCTCTTCTTCTCCCGCTTGTCCCATCTTATCCCCAGCCCCCCCAGCCTCTCTCTCTCGTTCCCCCAGTGCCCATCTCACCCATTCCCATTGCTCCAGCTCCTTCCAGCTCCTTCCAGCTCCCCC